AACGCTTTTTCTGTCCTCTTCATCAAGTTTTAAATCTCTTTAATCGGTCAGCTTGATTATGGGGCTCTGATAGGTGGCATGGCTTTTTGGAGAGAGCCAAAAAGAAGGACCTGCTGCACATATCCTGGTTCCCAGGCTCCTTGCCAGCAGCAGAGCATGATGTAAGAGTCTTTCACGCTGAACAAGTTAACAAACGTGTTTTTGAGTTTACTACGTTTTGGCTAAGAAACAGCATGAATAGCCTTGCAGGGAAGTGCTACTGTTTAACAAGCAGGTCATTACTGAAATAGGCTTCTGTTTCCCACTCTATACCTAGGATTAGAAGAGAGACTCCCAGCTGTATTTCCACCTCTCCTCCTCCTTGCACTGGAGCAGCAACTGCTGTGTAAAAGGGATGCAGACTGGACTCCTCCAGTTTCTCCTGTATCCGGTATCTGCAGTTTTAACAGGACTTACACAAGCTAGGGTAAATCTAAGCCTATCTTCTGGCTGAGATGACATCTTTTTGAGAAAATGCTGGGAAATTGCTAGGCTTGAAATTGTTTAGAAACTGGTGGGTGACTACCCAAGCAGATGGAAGGGGCCTTTTTAAAACGTGTTCTGCCCTCTTCACTTCTTCTGAGCAGAGGAAGCCCAAAACCTGTTTTACAGAAAAAGAAGGCTCAAAGGGAACTCCTCAAGTTGGAGGAGCATCCTCTCTCCCCCCGGCCTGGACTCTTCTCCTGTAGGAAAAGAGGAAACCTGTAAAGGCTACGAAATGATACACCACAAAAATGTTTGTGTTTGTCGGAGACGGGGAATACTGCTATTTTCACAGTGTCTTATGTGTCAGTGGAAGACAAAAGGACAAAATGGAAACAATACAACCCCATTAAGCTCAACATACTACAGTCCACTTTAAAATATGGGCAAAGCAGAAACAGGGGAAACATGTTTGTTATCGAATTTGCAACCTCTGCATTCCTTTCATGGTTAGTAATGTCACTTTAGAGAAGCATTAAGTTATCATTCACCACTTACTGCCTGAAGGTTACGCAGTCCAAACAACACAAGGCCAAAGTACAGAGTCATGAACTATACAGTTAAAAATCAAGTTGCTCCTGCCCCATTTAATGTGGTGCACGCTAATCTTTTGGTTTAGCTTTGATCTCTTATCAGCTGAATTTAACCTTCTAACTCTACCACTAGAAGAAACACCTACACAGACCCAGAGCAAAGCCTATATTAGGTGCTGCAATAGCGTGTTACAGACTCATCACATTTAGCTTTTGGGCACCTACCTGAAGTGCCTCAGTTAGAAATGCAACACCTGGAGTCACTCCCTTTATAATCAGTGCAAAGGGCTGTTCAACCCACTTAAGCACTAATTCATCCTCTGCAAATGCCTCTGTTGGATACAGACAATTAGAGCTACTATACTCCCAACTTAAGCAGCTCAGATAGGTTTCTAAAGTTAGGTGGGATAAATCCAGGCGTTAGTGATTATCACAGACATCCATTTAGCAGGAGGTTAATTATTTAGCTTTGTATACTGTCTTGAGATGATACTCCCTGAAGCAGCATCTCCCTCTGTCAGGAACTGCCTCCTGCTTTTTATTCCTCTCTCCAGAATCTGAGACTTAAAAATCACATTAAAATAGATACTTTTTCTAAGTGCTATTAAAACATGAAAGGTTTAGGTTACTTCTACTGGGGAATAAATATTGTTATTCTTTCTTCCATGCCTTTTTTCTTATTGAGCGGATTTCACAGTTCAGGGCCACAGTCTCAGATATACAAAAAAAAACCAATTATTTTTAGGTACACAGTCACTTTGAAATGCAGTTAATTATAACAATGGGCTAAGATTAGTTCCAAGTCCTTATACCACACCTTCTTATATTCATCTGCTGTTCTGTTGTTTGCTTCGTTGTTTTTTTTTTTTTAAACACTTCAGGGTCTGGGTCCAAGGGTTCCTCTCTGCTACCGCAATATGTATAACAATTGTGAATCATCACACGTTAACACTGCTAAGTAAACAGTGTAATAAGTAAAGGAGATTTCAGTTGTCAGTGCCCTATAGATAAGACTCAACTTCTTGTTTCAGATATCAGAGTAGAAGCTTCCCTCTCACTAATCTGTACATCTAACAGTGTTGCCATTATGAAACGTCTATCATCTAATTTACAGCATGTTTTAAAGATAATTGGCGTTGTCACGCCCAGGAACAGTGATCTCAGTAAACAAGTTGCGTTTGCCTTTTATAGATTTGTTTATGTCATGCGCATTATGAAAACAAACTTTTATTAACATGCAATAGAGAAACCAAATTCAGGATTAAGGAAAATAGCAAGAAGTTTGAAATGCAATACTCAAATCTGGGTTGTTGTCTACTGCTTGCCATTTGCAAGGAATGCGAGGGGAATAACCTACAGGGGAAAACTAGAAACTCTGCAATCGTCAAAAGACACAACAATCCTGAGCAAACACCCATCAGCTTTAGATTTGTGTCCTTCTGCAGAAACTTAGCCAAACAGTTTCTCCTATTAGAAGAGCACTGCAAATCTCTATCTATGATGGCTGTTGAAAATTAAACATATAGGGCTTTGTTCCTCACTGATCTACAGCTACTGACATTTGCTCCCAAATAAAGCAAAACCCTAATGATTCACGAGCAGCCCTGCACACTTGCTCTTCTCAGATGCAAAGAGTACAGAAGATACAAAACAAAGATAATCAGGTCCTATACATCCTATATGGAAAAAATATAGATAAATTTCTGTATCTTCTGCACAGATACAGATCAGGACCTAGATACTGAGTTTCCAGAGAAACTTTCTCTTGTACAGACATACAACCACACCAGTTTATGAACGTCTGCCATGAATTTTGTTTCTTTGTTCTGGCATCTTCCACTCAACTTCATACTATCCCAATCAGCAAGCAATTAAAAAGAAAACAAACTTTTCAGTCTTTCAGTCACTGGAATGATCTAAGGTTATGTTGGTTCCCTATTCCTGTTTTAATACGTACCAAAAGACTCCTCTGTAGTTGCATAACACAGATAGCCACATGCACATGCGAATAGTATTGCCAGCCAAGTGAAGTCTACAAAAAATATTTTTGCATCCTACAAGCCTTTGGGTTTCATAATTTATGTATCCTCAGCCTTCATCTTCCATGGAAAGGCAGTGGACTGAAAGGAGCTGACTGGAGAAGGGTTACGGCTAAAGTTCCCCAACTAAAACTGTAGGATTTATTTTATTTAATACTTTAATTATTTACTTTTGCATAATTTGGTGTACAAAATACACAGAAGAAATGGGATATCATATAGAATAACAGAAATTAGAGGCAATTCAACAGTACTAAACACAAATATATAATTGAAGATGAATTTTAAAAATCTGCTATAAAGCAGGAGTTCATCAGGTGTAAACAGGAAGAACATGAGTACACCAGCCAAAATGAACTATCAGCATAACCTGGCCATGAACAAGCTACCAGATTCGACAGGAGAGATATTTCCAGTTGCGTTACCGAACGGGCCTGGGTAAGATATCATCCAGAAAATGAATCCAAAGTGAAACAGAAGCAAAATTGGATTTAGCAGAAGAACAAAAAAGTCTGTTTTGCAAAGTGAGTTTAGCTAGGTTGCCTAGAGGTACAGCAGGATGTAAAGAACACTGAATGAAAACAGCAGATAATTCTAAGAGCAAATGGTCATAAACTGTCTCTGAAAAATTTAGGCTTAAAACCAGAGACTTCTTAACCGTTAGAGAAGGAGTCCCCAAACCAGGGCGTGTGTTTTACTAGCTGTCTGCAAACCACCTGAAAGTGCTACGCAAATACTGATCCAGGACCTAAACGCATTCAGCAAAGCAACTGCTGCTGCCACTGTTACAGTACCTAACAACAATAGCGAAAAGTTTAGGGATTGCTGTGTTAGCATAATCAGATCCTGGAACAGCTTTCCCAAGGGCGAGTGGGAGGAAACTTTCTGCTTTTAAGTAAATAAGTAAGAACTTGAATGAAACAGAACTTGTAGTGGTTCGACGGGGAAACAGACCTCATGAACATTTATGTCCTTTACAGTTCTAGTTTTCTAGATACAGAAAACGTCAAAGATTTTACACTCTGAGAAAAAGAAGAGCTGGGGAAAGACAAATACAGAGTAGTTAGTTAACACTGGTGTCAGATCAGAGCTTGCTAGTTCTGAGAGGCAATGGAACAGTGAAACAAAAGAGAGTTAACGCAAAGAAATTACTGAGAAAAAGAAAGAGGGAACAAAAAGGCAGAAAAACACAGAAAGGAAGGAAGAACAATGATGCCTGTGAGGCTCAGGCTGGCTGAGGGAGGGAGGGAAGAGGCACAGCAAAGGCATGCAGCGCCAACGTTGCAGTGCAATGCATCAGAGCTTGGAATTCACGTATTCCCAGGAACTGCTGCGTTCATGTATTCCCAGGAGCATTCATGTAGTCGCAAGAGCCAAGGAAACCACACCTGCGAAGACACCTCCACAACCTGGGGGCTGGTCAGATCTCCTGGTACTTCTGCTCTTCTTCCTCTGCTCTCTGAGCTGGGGCAGAAGGCATGAAAGCAACTAGTGCCATGAGCTAGCAGTTGTCCCGGTCACCTCAGACTCCAGAGGCAGCAGGAGCCCAAAACACTGCAGCCCATGGACTGAGTTTCTTTTTGATATGCTCTCCTTGGTGGCTAGCTCTCTGGCATCTCAGCAATGTATGCTGGGATCTGTAGCCACTGCAAAGCTTGCTTCAGAGTAGTGCCAAAAATAGTTGCTATCTGGTAGATCACAAGAGGAGCTACTACTGCCTTTGGATTCCTACTGCCTCGTTAGTTGAATATTGAGAGAAACTGAGACAAGCCTGAAGTAAAAGGCACGTGAAACAACTGTTTTCATTCTGTTCCACAGAACGGATGTACAAGTCCTAGTCTTTCAGTCACAAAATACGGAATACTTGCACACAACCCTGTACACTTCCCAATGGAAAGCCGGGCACATGCTTTACTTACTGTTTTTGAGGTAGCACAGGGAGCTGGTGTCATTATAGGAGGCTTGGCTGCACTTTGGGATGGAGGCAAAGAAAATCTCTGCCCTGTGTCTGGAGGTGAAGAACAGTGAATCCGTGTTTCTAGTCTCTCAGGTTCATGCTTATAGGATTCCAGAGGAAATGTGGGCTGCTTGGTCACTTGTGTTGGGGTAGATGGAGAAGAGGAGAGGCCAGAGGCTGTAAAAAAAAGGATAATTACTAAAGACCATTCAGAAGGAAAGCAGACAGGAATCTTAGCTTTACAGTGAACCTGTATTTTTTCATCAGCATTCCCTAGACTAAAAAGTATCTATCTCATGCTCTTGTTTATAAAACGCAGTTGCTCTGCCCTCCCATTAAGACTGTTAATAATGTGACTGGTTGAGCTGTCAGATCCACGGTATAAGGAGGCACACTGGCAAGCTGAGAGAGCTGGAAGTTTGTATTACATTAACCTCCTGTTCAATTCCTTATTCCTAAAATGACATAAAAGGACAACCATCCTCAACATTGTTCCTACTTTTATTGTTGTGATTTTTAATATTCCTTTGAGTCTCAGGATTATCTATATCTCATAGCAAATGGCTCAAGAGCTTTCATTGTTGCTTTTTCTTCCTTTTCATTATTTTAACAGTACGTCAGCCAGCAGATGGAATAAAATCAGGCGTAGAGGCAAAAAGAAACAGAGTATATTTCTCATGATCCTCAGTCTGCTTTCTGTAAGGCTCTTGGCAGTGGTTTTGTGCAAACTAGATTTGTTTTCAGCACCATTTGAGGGGAATGATTATTCAAATCTTCTGCTGAAAATTAATGTCAACAGTAGATCATTTCTCTTGTAAGCATCCTGTTTTTGACACATATATCCATCCACCTCAGCTGTAATTTCAGGTTATATTCTTATTGCACGTCTGAACTGTGATCAAATAGATCATTTAAGCTATCTTTGTTATCCATTTAAGAACCAGCAGACATCCACATCCGACTGCAAAATTCAAGTTTTCATCTGTGTTTCTTGGTATAGCTATACATACATCAGTAAACAAACAAGGATAATTATCTTATAGCAGCCTAAATCATGATAGCGTTAAATGCATTAAAAACTGTCAGGCTGAATAGAGCTATATACTTTTAAGTGGGCTGGAGGCATCTATATGATCTCTGAATTTGATTCACTTCTTGTACCCAGAGATTTGTGCAGGTAATCAGTTAATCCAGAAGGGACTTTAGTACATAGGAAGGAAACAAAGAGATAGCTTTTAATAAGCCTGAAATCCTAAGCCATTCAAACAAATGTTTCAGAACATGACAGTGCCTCTTCGTGATAAATCGAGCTCATTTTCTCAGTGTGAACTTTCAAGGCTCTGCCAGAGATTTTTGCATGCCCCCATTCAAAGGTTTTGCGCTGATGTAAACACAGCCTCTACTGGTACTGTTTACTCCGGTTTCAACCTGGGGTTAAGTGCATTAGTACTACTCACGTTATACTCATAAAGCACTTTTGTAGTCAAATGCCTGATTCATTTCAAGAACTCTGGTTGACTGAACCCTCAGGAATGTTTTTATGTCATGACATCCACTGACCTCAAAGGCTGTCCAGTTACCTCTCAGTCCTCACAGACAACGTTTGCAAAGAGAACTTTGTATTTACGGAAACTAAGCAATAAAAATCAGTAATAACTAAGATGCTAGAGTCAGAAAACTAGTAACTCAACAGCTCCAGAAGGCACATATTACTTAAGAAACTATTATCCCTGACATGTCTGGGGGAGAGCTACCATATCTTATGATTAAAGGCATTAATAGGTAAAGGAGTTTAGATAAGTGTTCTTTGAATATCATTCTTTGTTAAAAGCAGCCTTTTTAGGTGGCCTTTATATACTAGTTACTTAAAATTAAGAGAACAGAATCACTCACCAAGAAGCCTGCAAACTGACTATGCTGTAATGTGTTTTACTTATTCATTTATAGTGGTATTAGTGGTGCAGTGTAATGTATTTATTTCTTTGCATGAAAATCCTAACTGTCACTGGAAAATTTTAGCTTTACTGGAATCAGAAAGGCCCCTACTCAATCCCTCTCTTCAGTCCTTTTCCAAAATTGCAGCTGCCCCACAAGGACTTATATTTCACTGGAGAGAGCTGCAGCTCTGCAGATCGAGCAGCAATAATCACAGATCCGGTGGAGAGCGGGTGTTGCAGGCAGATATAGATGTTGGTTAACGTGACCTGCCACAGAGTGAGGCAAGCAGAATAGCCACAGCATTTTGAATGTCCTCAGCTTCTCCTGGTTTGAGTGGGATTGGAGGGTGTTCCACATCCTGAAGAACAGGACAGCTAACTTTCCTGTTCAGTTTTTGCTTACAAGCAGATTTAGATGAATAGTACTGGGAAAGGTGCTCTTGTCTTCCGTGTCTTTATGGATATGCAAATGTTTCCTGAGCACTTAGACTGGAGTTTGAGGTGAATGGTAGCTGTAATTGATGCAAATGTAAAACCACTAAAAGGGGAAAAAAACACCATTAGGTCTTAAAGTCTTACTGCTGGGATGTGTTCGTTCTGTGCTAATGTACTCAGCAAGTCAACAGAAACCACTTCCAGTATCAACAAGCGTTGCCAAAAGGGTTATGACCAGACACAAGGGAACCACATATTCCCTGTCCTAATAAGGCTGGCGGATCAAGTATAGAGGACAGCTATAGGACACAGGAAGAGGTGGATCAAAGGAGAGCTCTTACATCCTATGAAAACTATTGTCATCTCATTATAAATGTATAACAGCTTATTGAGCACAGCCAGGAAAGTTCCTGACCGGGACTTCTCATAGAAAGCATGGCTTCCATTTTATTAAAATATTCACTAACGGTGAGCCTCCTTTTGCATGCCAGCCTTGGACACTTGGCATGAATGTTTATAGATGATGAGTACTGTGACTCCAGCAACTTTAATGGGAGCACTTTGGTGCTTAGACCTAGTTGTCTCTACTAGGCACTTAAAACAAAATGTACTCAAAATAAGGCATTATTACCTTAATACATTTCAGATTCATTTTTTCTGTGACTCAGTTTCTGCAAAAAATGTGGAGGGGCCACAGTCATTATTTTGAGGAGAATATGATTAGATTATCTGGTTAGACTTCAACCTTTGATATTTAGAAGTCTACCTCACAGCATCTACCTATTTTATTTGCATTTGTACAATATGGAGATTGAGAGGAATCATCTCATGAGGAATGTTAAATATTTTTATGATTATTAAAACAAAAGACTTTGCTGCTATGATACGGCTCAACCCTGTAAACACTACAAAGCATTTTGTAAAGGCCCGCCATATTAAAGAAAGAAAATCTGCAATATATACCCAAACTAAAATCAGTTCAGGAATAACAGAACTGTGCATTAACTTAGATCTTATTGAACCGACATTTAAACAGACAGCATCTGTATAAACATATTTATATGTGTGTGCAGTAGCTGCCCTGTTCTACTGCATAAGATGTTGGTTGATGGGACAGTAAGATACACCTATATCCTGTGGCTGAAAACAGTTCAGTACTGGGTACTTAACAGTCGTAGTTCAAATACACCAAAGAAAGGTCTAACTTACTCCCTTAGAAGGAAAACAACAACAAAAAACCCACTAAAAACCAAAACGCCTTCACACGTGCAACTCAGAGCATGTGTGAGCTCTCCCAGCCAACTCAGGCAGAAAATGATGTTTTGGCGAAAGTACACTTAAAGCAATTAGGCAGTAAAAACTAGCCAACAGTTCTAGTCTCTTCTACAATGAGGCTGAAAAAAAAATCAGTATTTATGTAGGATTTTGGATAAGAAACAATCTTTGCCATTACCTGCAAACTCTACTGGTTCTGATAACGAGCCGAACTGAGATGGCAAGTAATTGTCTGTTACACTAATGTTTCTTTCATCAGAGAATGAAATGCCTAATCAAATGTGGTATCTTCGTGTCAGCAGACTACAACAGCTCTTCCCTTTCCCGTTAAATTATTAAAACAATAATTTTAAACAAAAAAATAAAAAGGAGGGAAAAATTCTAGCAGATCATTTACTCTGCCTTTTTTCTACTGATTGTTCCTGTCCAGTTTTAAGACAGTCCAAAAGTTTTGCTTTGTTCCAATCCATCTCGATATCTCCTTTCTGGTGACAAAACAACAAGAACAAAAAGACAGCTCTCTGTTTTCCTTATTGATGAGTCATAAGTCCCAGTATTTGCAATTTGCCTTCTTTTGAATTAATTTTAATTAAGGAAGTAATTTTCATATTATACAATACCTTTACTCCGAAATAGGTATGTGAGATCATAACAGAACTAAAGAGTGCTCTGATACCTTTATTATTCCTTTAATGTATAACAGGCATGATGCACCTAATTCACCGTACTTAACAGATCGACTCCCATCTTTACTTCCTCACCATTAAAAGTTTATTATTAAGCAAATCACTGTTTATACAGATGGGTTCCCCCTATTCCCAACATCCGAACATGTATGTTTTAAATACTGTCTTTTTAATAGCGATCATTTTTAGTTTGCTTACCAAAAACACTTGCGTTTTCAGGACCCCAAGGAAGTTCTGCGATAGCAGCACAACTGTTGGCCCAAGTTAGCATGCAACACTAACTAGTATTTAGTTTGTCACAGAAAAACAAAAATCATGTTGGAAAAAACTTTCCCTAACTATGTGCAACTACTTCCTTTAAATAAAGCCCTTATTTTGCCCAGCACTAAAATCTCCACCCACCTACCTGGGCGCTCTGATCCAAAGCGGCCTTCCGCTGACATATTATAACAGGAAAGGAGAAAACACTGCATTGCCATTCCTGTACTCCCGAGGGAAAAAGGGTGGCTGCCCTGCCCCATTTCCTACATTCCCGGGTGACACCCACAATTAGTTCTGTCACCTACATTTCATGCCTGACCTGGCAGGATGCATCTGGTGGCTTCGGTGAGGAAGGATGCTCACAGCCCAGTGATTCCTGCCAAAGCCTCCCTTTTATTTCTTGGCTCTGCTACATGTGGTTCTGTCTGAAGTGCAAAATCAACCCGGAAAGAAGAACAGCCCTTGCCCCCATGTGAATCTTTGGAGGCCCCTGCCCACAAATCAGGTTGCTGCAGAGCTCAGCAATGCTCCTTTCGGCTGCTGCCCACACACCAGTGGGTTCGGGTGGATCTGCATAGTCGCG